CTAGCGTGCCCACATCCCCCCACATCTTAGTGTCATCAGCAAATTTGAACAGGGTGCTTTTTACCCCCTCGTCCAAGTCACTGCTGAAGATGTCGAACAGTGCGGGCCTGAGGACCGAGCCCTGCGGAACCCCACTGCCCACATCCCTCCAGGTCAAAAATGACCCATCGACTACCACTGTCTGGGTGCAGCCCTCCAGCTAGTTGGCAACCCAATTGACTGTGTGGGTATCGACACCACAGTCCCCCAGTTTCTTAATGAGAACAGGGTGAGAGACAGTGTCAAAGGCCTTCTGAAAGTTCAGGAAGACTATGTCCACTGCTACCCCTGCATCTAATGATTTGGTGATCTGATCATAGAAGGCCACCAGGTTGGTCTGACAGGACCTGCCGCTAATGAACCCGTGTTGGTTGCCCCTAAGCATGATCTCCCCTGCTGGCCCCTCGTGGATACGCGCCAGAATAATTTTCTCAAACAGCTTGCCTAGGATCGAGGTAAGACTAACTGGCCTATAGTTTCTCGGGTCCTCCTCCTTCCCCTTTTTGAAGATGGGAACCACACTGGCCCTCTTCCAGTTCTCTTGCACCATTTCTGTTGGAGACTATTTTATTAATACTGGGTTACGCAGGGTTGTGAGGGAGCTGAGCCCATGTCAGTGTGCGCTTCCTATTCACTTTGCCTCCAGTTTTTTGGAGCACTCCCTTGCTGGAACTGAGAGACTAGAGGCCGAATTTCCTTCCTCCTCTCCTATTGGAGCCAGGAGAGTAGACATGGATAGGTATGCAGGGTTTGGGGGCTGGAGACCAGGAATCCCACTGTTGGCAGGGGCAGGAGAAGAAAAGCACTGTAAGATGTTGAAGACCCCAGGGGCCTACTTTTATGCTTTGTAGAGCATGCAGATGTAATGGGGAAACTTTCATTTTTAGAGTGCTTCAAAAAGTGTGTCTATCTGTCTGGCTTGCCCTTTCAAGGACTTTTGAAGTGGTTCAAATGTTAGGCCTATTCCCACCGTCAGAAAATATCAGATCTCTGAATATGTGAAAAGTAAATAATAGTACAGAGATGATATTGCTCTGTTATAATACAGCGAGGTCACCATGGGATCAGTGAGTCCACTTCTGCAGAAAGGAAATGAATTTATAAGTATTTGTGCTTGGTAAATATGCATTAGAAGAAGAAAATTAAGACACCAAAGAGAAAGTTAAGAGATTACTTGAGCATTGGCTAGAAGTACCTATCATGATAAAATACATCTGCTATTGGTAGGGACCTACTTAAATCGCAATTTTGCATTTTTTGTGAAAACCACGATTTGAAGTGGTTCCTGTGGAAAGTGGCATTCCTTGTGATTTTTGGCAGAATTCCCCAGGGGTGAGGGGAGTGGAAACTTACTGAAAATAAAATCCTGGCTCCCCAGTAGAAGTTAGCAGTTCATATAGCCACCAGCACACAGGAAGGGAGCCAAAATGGTTGTCCTCTCCTCCCTCTGCCACTGATTGGCCAAGAGGGCTGCCTGTCATGCAATCCCACTCCTCTCTGCCAATCAGCAGTGAGAGGTAGAACTGCATGAATGGCAGTCTTCTTGGCCAATAAGTGGCAAGGGATGGGGCACTGCCGGGGCCCCGGGCTAGTTAGCAGCATATGGGATGGCCTCACTGCAACAAACCACAAAAATGGCAGTGTGCATTGCTGTTGGCCTGTGAAATTGCCTGCCTGCCTTCTCAATTTTGGTAGGTCCCTATTGGAGGCCTTTTTAACTTAGCAGACAAAAGTGTAATATGATTGGAACGCCAAAAGTTGAAACTTAAAAAGAAAATCAAACTGGGATGCAACTTTTTACCAGTGATTATTTTTTTCAGACTTTTAAAAATAGTTCCCTGCAGGCATTGCTGGGTGCATTTTATGTTCATGCAGAAGGTCAGATTCGATTATGTTTTTGGCCCTTCAATCCAACGAAAGCTGCTTAAGATGAGTTTCAGGTACATGGGTAGTTCATCAGTTTTAGCATAATAATGTTTTTGTATAGATCCTTTCCTCCCCTTTCTAATCTGCTCCCATTTTACTGATTTGTGGTTTGGTTGTGAACAATATGGTAAAATTATCTCCACAGGATATTTTATGCACTCTTAAATCTTTGAAATAGACATTCATATATAAATGGGCATTCCTATGTAAAACCCCTCTTTGATAATGATTCAGTTGCAGGCAGTGTTCAAGCTACAAAACAGTATAAGGGTATTATCATGTCTGCAGTTGACAGAATGAGCATTAGAGTTATTATGGTATAAAAGTAGATTAGTATGGATTTATGAATGTGTAATCAGTTCTACCATATTTCATGAGCTGATACACTTATGTAATTGTACCTATCGTGGATAAATCCTATCCTCAGATATATAGCTTCTGATAAGGGGGTGAATGTTTTGTTGCCCTGTTTCTTATCAGCATTTTATGATTCAGTCAATAACTTTTATTTCACAAGATACAAGTTTTATAACAGTTCACAGAATTTAGTGCCTAAATCCCTCAAATTCATAGACTAAAGCAGTTCAAAGTGGTACAAATCCAGCATTGGATATATATAGTATCTTAAATTTAACCAGATTAAATAATCCCATGTGTGGAAAAAATACCGACTTCAGTGGATTTGTTTACACACTTGGCTGGTTTGGGATCGCAGGAAAATATCTCAGCATTTTCTTAATGATCAGTTTTGTTTGTTTTGTTTCAATATTAAATTACAACCTAAATCTAGTTCCTTCTCTGAAAATATTTCTCTCTTCTCTCTAGAACTGCAGAATTTTGCTAAAGTTATAAAAGCAGGACGACCCAAGCTGAGGAAACCCAGCAAGGTTTGTAATTTCTAGAGAAATAGCTTTACATATGAATCTCAGGATCGCTTTTATTAAAAACGACTATAAACAGTTTAAAGTGTTGGTTGCATCTGAGAATGGTGTCCTTAAACAGGTTGGTTCTAGTGAAAAATCACCTAAGTTTTAAGAGGAATTTTTGAAGTAGACTATATTCAGTACTGATTTTGCTTCACATGGTTTTATTGGGAACGTGAGATTTTAAAATTGTGTGTGTTCATTTTTCTTATGACTTTTGTCTTGCATGCAGAACAGATTTAAAGAAGGAAAAGATATATTTTTCTTTTGTTTTTTTAAACATTTAACACACTAGCTGGTTCCTTTTTTGAAAGACTTGTATATCTATACAAATGATATATACTTGTCTTGTAGCTTACTGTAAATGTGACTTTCAAAGAGAGGTGTGTTAGTCTGAAGTCAGGCAAAAGGCAGGGCAGAGTTGTTGGAGATGTATATAATTTCATAAGCAACAGTATACTTTATCAATGCTGTGAAAAGACTTTCAGGGAGCAGTTTGCTGGCATTGTTTAAGTATTAAGAGTTTCTGCTGATGGTTTTGCGAACTGCAAGCTGGACAAGTAGCCTATCCATGTAGGTTCCTTTTTAAAATATAATTTTATTTTAAGGTTTATTTAGTAATCGATAAGGCTTTGCACTGGAAGTATCTGAATAACTGACCAGGTTCTTGTTGATTAAAGTGCTGCCATGTCTGGTTTATGTTAAAATGCTCACATTAAAAAAAAAATACCAGTAATATAGTTTGTTTCTCTCTAACAGTTGCATGTGCACTATTCTGCATTGATGCATTCTGAAATGTATCTTGTAACTTTGCAGACTAGTGACTTCGGTGATATCACCAATTGGCCAACACCAAGTGAAATAGCAAACAATGAAGTAAGTAAACTATGCAGTTCTTTATATTTGTACATAGTTTGTAAATTACCATTTTTTTTAAACATGTCATGGACTTCTCTATTTCAACATGTTGTCTGGAGAATTGGGGTAGGTATTTCAGGATTTCAGCAGAGCAAATTGCAAAGGATTTTCATGCATCAGTAAGTGAGCTTGGAGTACAACTTCATGTGATTTAAGTGTTACGTACCATTTCACAGGAGCAGAATTAAAGCCCGTTGTGATGATGTTGGGTGTCTCCATATATGTGGAGGTGTGCTGAATTTATCTCATAATTTTAAACTTTGTTTCCTTGTTCAGTGTTTGTCAGAAGAGCTTTCCTTTTGAGATGATACAGAACAGCAATCCTATAAAATGCTCAAATCTTTGGGGCTCATAAATATTTGGTGCAAGGTTATGTAAGAAGCTAATGGCCCTGACATCATCAAAGTTCTGCTAACTGCTTGAGGGGAGAGTACTGCATTCTTCTTAATTTTTATTTCATTATGCTGTTTAAGATTTTATTAGACCTTGTACTGTGTCCTGCACTGTGGTTGTCTGAGTGCTTTATCCCCATCTCAAGGTCACATTGTTAAATACAGTAATAATTTGTTGGCCTTAGATATGCTTCTTGTCTGTTTTGTGGTCCATCAAGTGATATTTCAGTCTTTGGTCCCATTCTTATAGTTACCTTATTCCCATTATGTTCTTTGATTGTTTTTGGGTGGGTTTTCAAGTGACGTTCCTGCTGAAATGGCTTTATCTCTTATATTATCATCATTAGTGCCTTCTTTTTGGAGCCTTGCACAGACCATCTCCATCTGTCTAGTAATGGTTCTTAAAGTGTATAGGGAACATGAGTTTCCTGTTTCACATGCAGCTTTCATCCTCTAGGGTCATTTCTTTTTGCCCAAATTAAGCCAAGTGTGTTGGCAGCAGTGATTGCATTGATAACTTGTACATCAGAACTTATGCAGGTATACAATAAAACCCACTGAAGAACCATTTCCTAGGTAGAAGAAATTAATGGACTTGGTGTTATGGAATAAGAAGTGGCGTATGAAAAAGTACCAATACTTTAAGTTCTCGCAGATTCAGTTCAATATAGAAGAAGCTTATAAGCAGGATTCCTATGTTATTGTGCAAGTTGCCTGTGGACTTTGCCACATAACTTACTTCCTGACTCATTCTTTGCCATCTCTATGTTCATTTTTTAAAACTTTTTTTTTCTTAGCATTCAAAACTGTAAGTGGCACCTTGAAAACTTGAACAGTAAGTCCATTTAGTAATACCCATTAGAGAAACAGAAACATTTTTAAAAGGTATATATTACCTTTCAGTCTATTATATCTATGTACAAGATGAGTAGATTGTACCAGCTCTTTAGCTTGATTTTTTTTTTTTTTTAAGTATTTTATATACCCATCCAACACCAAGACACTCTCATTAATTTGTCGAAGATGGCTTTCTATCCTCTTTGATACAGAGGTCCAGATGATGGATTTAACTGTGTCAGAAGGCATCCTTGTTAACAAGTTAGTAGCCTACAGTTGCACAGCGCCAGCAGCACCTGATAAATTTGCAGCAGTATTCCCTTTGCCAGAGTATCTTTTGTAGCAGTCAAAAATAGACATGTAAGCCATTGGTAAGAGGATCAGAAAAGTGGCTCATCTAAGTTTCTTTTAAGTCAGATGTGAAATTCAGACCCTCCAAGTGTGGAACGGTCTTTTAATAGCTGGAAATTTTCTAGTCCCAGAGTTCATAAATTGTTGAATCTGGTCAGTTCTTTCATCTCCAACGTCATCTCTTGTGATAGAGATGTGAAATAATTTTTCTCCTGCACTGAATATAAGAAGTTCCTCAGCAGTATTTGACGCTGTCGTATCCTGATTCCAGGAAAAGAGGCAAATTGTTTAGTTTGCATCTAAGAAATTGGATAGATATATGCGAAGAATCATATTACGTTATTTAATAATCCCTTTTTAAATGCATATGATTGATTTAGAGCTCTTAGTCTAAAGCAGTACTATATCTGTCCCTTCTTCTGGGCTTCTGAAAACACTTAAAGTTTTTTCACGTGCCCTACAGTAAAGTTTTTTCACGTGCCCTACAGTATTAAGGACCTTTACCAGGTTTCTGGTTGTAGTGGCAGTTTGAGGTATTAGAGGTTGTTATATCAGCCAGAATAATTTTTTTAAGTACTCTATCAGAGTAAGTATATTACAGATTGATGAATTGGTGGCTTCTTCCTGAATAAAGCTGCCTACATCCCAGTCACTTTCCTAAGATCCTGAACTAGAAGGCTAGTTTGCATAGTGTATTAAAATAGCTCTTGGTTCCTTTATGAATAAGACAAATAACTGTATACAAGTCTAAATTTATCAGGGTTTATCAACAAATTCAGATAAATTCTTTCTTCACTCAATCTGAAGGATTGACTTTTTTTTCGAACTGTTATACAGTTGCAGTACCTAAAGCACATACTTCAGTGGATCCAAAGCTGTTTCCATGACCAAATGAGAAATGTTTTCTGACTGGATATTTTCAAGGCTTTATTTTGTAGGTGGGAATGATGGGCAATTCAAGAGAAGTCTTCAGTCTTGCTTGCTTTGACACTTGAACTGTGCAGGTTCCCAATTTGTACTTAGTAGGGTACAGGCAGTGCTCAAAGCTAAGCAGTTACTGGTAAATTTCATAATCTGAATTTTTAAATTTTATTGACAGACACTTTCACACACTTCTGATCTGTATTTTGATTTCTGATCATATGGAATGGAATTGACATAGTTGGGGCCTGTGGTTCTTTATAACTGTACAAAAATGTAGTGCTTGATTGGATAACATAATTAAAACTCCAGTGATTATACTTTCTCAGGTAATCCCATTCAGTGCTTAAGCATATGAGCACCCTGTAAGTAAGGCTTTATAAAGACAATCAGTTTGAACACTGGTTATTGATAAGTAACATCTTCTTATATCATAATAAACAAAATAAAGTTTTCTCTTGTTTTCTACTAAAATATAATTGTACATTTTGTAGTGTTACATGGTCAGTATAGTTAATTATTGCAATGGTTTGCATTCTAAAGGTCATTTTTATAACCAGGCAGAACTGTTTGTAACTTCAGAACACTTTAAAAGTGAGAGTTTAACTCTCTGTAAAAATTTATGCAACATTAGTTTTAGAGCTCACCATGGCTCAGAATTCAAGAACAACTAATCTTAAATTAATCAGTAAGGAAACATTGTTTTTTAGATGTAGCTTTTTTCTCTCAACATCCATAAAATCATGAAAAATATTTAGCAATTCTTTTTCAGTGCAAAGTCAATCAGAATAAAAAGCCACCAAATAGAAAAGAAAAGGAAGAGAAACATGAGAAGAGAGCCAGCAATGAAATCAAAGAAACCCTGGAAGTAAAGCCAGATGGTCTGGGAGAAAATGTTAGTGAAGATGAAGCTCAGTGTAACAGTCAAAGGAAAAAAGGTTAGTCTATGCCCTATGTAAGGTATGTCAGTATTGCTCTACTACAAATCTTGAAAAGTACACATTCTTTTGGGTGTTTGAATGGGGAAATAACTGAAATACTCTTAATACGTCTTCTAGTATATGAGAGTTTCAAACTTGACAGCCCAAAATAATTTATTTTCACTTCCTTACCTAGTGAAATGTTGTGAATTGTCAAAGAGGAAGTTCTGTGAAAAGAGTGCTCCTTGAGCCTCTGATCTTTCAAAGAGCAGTTTAGAGTAGCAAGATCTGCTGAATATGGTTTCTTTCTTTTTTTTATTCTAGGTATAAAAGTTAATTGGTGGATAACTCATTTTATATTCTTATTTATAATTCTCTAACTAGAACAAAAACCCAACTTCATATTAGTACAGAATTTAGTGTATTTTGAATAGAGCTTATTTTGAATATGATAAATGATGCATTAAAACCATAGCCACTAAAAGAGGATATTAATTTATCTCTCTTAGCTTTTTACAAATAAACTTTTGTACTGGATTTTAGCGTACTCTTTCCAGAAGGGACCCAAAGAACTTAAATATGAATGATCGTCAGGTTCATTTTATGGAAATAAATTGCGCCTCTGTATTTATGCTATCATTTATCATACCAGAACTCCTTAAGTTGTCAGGGAAATTAATTTCCATCACGTTGACCTGATATCTGTTTTGTTAAATATTTTCATCTTTTGTGTCCACCTTTCAGTTTGGTACTAAACATTAAATTACTGTGGAACACTGATGTAACTATAAAAAATGGTAAAGCCCTCCAACCTACTTCATTTACTAGATTCAAGAGTTAGTTAAGATAACTTCTAAAACTGTAACTGAAAAGTTACAGTTACCTTCTGTATGTTATTATAAGGTAACATATATGATCAAACAGCATGTATGACTAATGCTAATCCCTACTGATTAAACTTTTTAGGAAAACTGTTTAACAGTTATTCTTCCTTTAAAGAATACTTTTACAGGATATTGTAAATAGTTGAATCATCTTAGCTGCACTATAGTTAAGATTGAGAACATATGTTTTTACTTTTTAAGGTAACAAGCAGAAATGGGTACCACTTCACTTGGATGATGTAAAACCTGATAGCCCAGAAAGACCAGGATCTCGAAATAGCTCAAAATCTCAGCCTGAAACAAATAAATTAGCAACACCTACTAACAGACGAACTGAGACAAGAAGTAAGTAGTTTTTAGTCCCATCTTTCGTTAGATTTTGGAATGGCTCTCATCTTTGTGGTAACTCGGCGCATAACTAGTTTAAAATTTCTGTTAGTGAATCTTAGTGAAAGCAAAATACTGTTTTTGAGTTTAATACCTGTTTATGCTGACATGTTAAGGGCCCTCTTTTAGAGTGTACCGATACATTGGTCCGATATATCAGGTCAGCACTGATATAAAGAAAACTGATTGTATCGGAAATCAACCTGATGTGGCCAATAATTTGGCTGATAAATGCCTGTGCATGCATGCAGCTGCCGTGCAGCATGCAGGTGGTGAGAAGCACAGCTCGGTTGCTTGGAGAGCTGCTGCAGCTGGTAAGTCTGTTGTGGTGGAAGGGAAGGGGGGGGGGGGCAGATAAATGCCTCCTGTAGTGAGGGAGGGAGTGGGGCTGGGGCAGGTGGTGGTGCTGAGAGGGGGAGGCTACAGCGTGGCTGTGGTGAAATTTGGGGTGGCTGCAGCCCCCCTGTAGGCCCCTTCCATGCTGCAGCAGTCCCCTGTCCCCTCCCCCCCGAAACCCAGCCTGGCCTAGCCCCTGCTGGGAAGAGCCTGGTGCCATCCCAGTTGTAGCCCACCCTGCCCTCCTCTGCAGACTAGGGGGGCACATGCCCTCTTCTCTCCTCCCCTTCCCCCCATGCCCTCCCAGGGTGTGCACAGTGGTAGGAGCTGCGTGGTCCCCCCCACAGCTCCATCCCACACCCCAGCCACACTCCCTTCCTCACTGCAGGGGCCTTGATCTGCACCCCCAGGCCCCTTACCTCCTCCCTCCCCTTCCACCACAACAGACTGTTTCCTGTTTTTCAAAATTTTGGCCAAATTCTGAAAAGGCATAAGAGGCATGCAGACTGTACGCAGCTGTATTGGAAATTGAATCAGTATTGGCCAATATACTTCCTTAAAAATCAGCTATTAGTATCGGCCCTCAAAATCTCCATTGGTGTGCCCCTATCCTCTTTCTTTCTAATGCTGTCTTCTGAGCATATGTTATGAGCTTGGTCTTTTGTGCAAAAAAATGACTTTGACATTAATAAAATTTGATAGTAATAGCTGCCAAAAAGTTACTTGAAATTAGTAATCGAAAGATTTACTCTGAATAGCAAATCAAAAGGTCTTTTTTAATGTGAACAGCATCTTTTTTTACTCCGTTAGCAAAATTTTTTTAAGTTGCTGCAAAATATATTAAGGAAAGTAAAGGTAATTCAGTATTGCCTCTCGTGCCTTTTCAGAATTTGGCCAAAATTTTGAAAAACAGGAAACGGTATCAGTGATATCTCAACCATCACACCCTCTTGCAATCTTCTATATGCTGCCTTTGAGTAATCACAGGACTACTGAACATCAGGAAGAGAACAAGGAGTGAAGATTAATGTGAGGGGAGAACTCTGATTTTTGTGACTAGGATAAAGTTTTGAAATGAAGTTTGGGCTTAGTGTACATGTGTAGGTCAGGTGTAACTGGCTCTTGACCCCTTTGCCAATTCAGACAAATATTCAAAGATTGGCTAGAAATCAACATGTGTTGTTATTACCCTTAGGATGACATTTTCAGCTAATCCTGCTTCAACCTTGTGGTGCACTTGCCTGAATAGTAGTGCATCTCATCAATGTCTGATGTGTGAATGCCAGTGCTTATAAAAGGTTCTGATGGAGACTGAGAACATTGGAACGAGTTAAATAGGGTGAAACTGTGTGTTCTGCTATTGTCTTGAAATATCGGTCTCTGGATCAGACTGTAGTAGCTGTACTGGTGGCCCTTAAAACTCAGTAGACACTTTAAAATTCATATATTCTTATTTTTTGGGATCAGGTACCATTTTGATGATCATCCACTCAGAAATCTTGTATAACACAAGTTTTGGGACATGTTTCCCAACCAAGGGGTACCTGTTTCCCTTCCAGGGCAATCTGGTGAGATGATATGACCTAGTCATCCATCACCAGATCTATAGCATCTGGGCAATCCACCACACAATACCAGTTGAAAGAGACAGTCCTCTTGATAAATTCATAGAAATCCACCTCTTCCAGGGTTATCAGTGTGTTCGGGTAGAATCAGGCATTACCTAATGTTGTATTTGTGCCTTCATAAAAAAATTTGCGATGGCACAAATGGTGAACGAATAGATGGCCCGACCCTTTGTTGCACTACATCAGTGGCTGTGACAACAAGTAGTAGTAAACAGTGCCACTTTATTGTGGCCAGCACCTGTTTGCTCTGCTGGGAGAATGCAGGCAGCCTTGAACTGACTACACTATGAAGCCATCCAGAGCAGATGCCTGATCCAGAACACAGCAGATAGGATTGGGCTGTTCAAGCCCTGAAGCACTTGCTCGGTTTTCCCCACTTACGGAGAATCTCTCCCTAAGCGAGGAAAGCCCATGCAGGTTCTAGTTTGGTGAACCCAAGGAATCCCCAGCACCCCATGCCTCATAAGGGCACAGGTCAGCGCAGTTCTGATGTGGAACTGGGGGAATGCAACTGACTTGGTTCCCAGCAAGGGGGTACAGGGATGAGAATTCCTAGTGCCCTGTGCCTCCATACTGGGACCCACGCTGACCCAGAGGCACAGGTTTGTGCAGGCACTTGCCTGATGCAGGACAGTGGGGGACTTGTGTCATCCAGTAAAATAGATCAGCTGTGTTAGGAAGCATCTTCAGTTTGGTGATACTGTACCTATTTTTTCCCTTTGTGTCAAATGTGCAATTGTGTTTGTGTGTATTTGTCAACTGTGATACTGTTTAGTATACTGCAACTGTGGGCAGTCCAACTTTGCAGCATGTGGGTGGTTTTCAAATTTTTAGTTGCTTGTTTGTTTAGTAACTCACTGAGTCTGTTACATGCATCTCTGAGGCCTCTTACATGCTACAGAAGTTTTGAAGTGTGTGTACAAATCACTGTCTCTGACATGCATGGTTGGTATGTGTCAATTTTTAGAACGAGGCTAAAATAATTAACTCTTCAGATTTGCTTGCTTAGCATAGCAGTGGGTGTTGGTCACTGGCTGAGATCAAGTTTTTGTAGCATCAATTTATGAAAATGAGTGCTATACGTTGAAGAGCAGTGTGCTCCAAAAAGAGGAAAGTATTACTGAAAGGTCATTTTCCTCAGGTTGCTTAACTTTAGAAACCTCTTGATCAAATGATTCTTCATGTGTACCACTAACACTATGTGCAGGCTGTAGTGCTGCACAGCAGTATTCAAAACAATCCAAGTGTGCCTCTGAACCCCACAGCAGTTTAGAAACATCTCCTGTATCTAAACATCTTCATATCAACTGTGAAATCTATGAAACTCTAGAATGACAGAGACCACTTTTTGACTTCTGAAGCAAGCTTATATCTCTATATTGCTTTCTTCTTTGCTTCCCCTTCTAGAAAGGCTCACATATGTTTCACAGTGCAATGACATACTCCTACCTATGGAAAAACTACAAAACTACTTGGTTAAATTTGAGTTTAAATTAAGTACTTTTTTTTTTCTTTTACAGGCTGGCGCCGTGATAGGGAAAAGAGAGATGACCATGATGAAGTTTCCAGTGTGAGAAGTGAGGGTGGAAGTGTTCGAGGACTCTTTAGAGGCAGAGGAAGAGGTCGAGGGAGAGGAAGAGGGCGTGGCAGAGGAAACCCTAGAAGTATGAAAGGCTAGATACTTGTTAAAGATGAAAAATCTATTTTGATAGTTAAGATCACACGTTTAAGTTGTACAACCCTCCCTGGTGTGAAAAATCAAATCCTAAAATTGGTCCATATGATTTGCCTGCCATCTTATAAGTACTAGAGTTCTGACTTCCTTTATTGAGATCTGGTACCAAATGCTTGTTGTCCAAAAAGATAATATATTCCTGTTTATATCTCTTAATGCTATTTTTCATATTGGATTTTTCTGTTTATCTTTTCCTCCCCCTAACCTCCCAATCCATTCTTTTTAAGTGAACTATGAGTATTCATATGGTTACCAAGAATTGTATGGTGAAAGGACTGATCAGGCATTTCAACCAGAACTTAACACTAGTATGATGTATTACTATGATGATGGAACGGGAGTGCAAATGTATTCTGTGGATGAAACACTGCTCAAAGAATACATTAAGCGTCAGATGTAAGTACATGAATTTTTAGAGCAAATTCTGGGATCTGTGTAAGAAATTAATTTCAGTGTTTGGTGTAAGTTGTTTTTTTTGTTTGTTTGTTTTTTTTTTTCCTTCTCCGTGCATCGGTGAAGTAGTACAGAAGTTAGTTGCTCCTAAGCATCCACCATCTGCCCATCACTAGTAGTAAATACCTACTTAATTTTGCTGAGTAATGGAGAATTAGGAACTTTAATTAAGATCCTTAGCCTTTTGGCATTATAAACTGTTTTTAATTCATGGTGCACATCCTCCTTTATTTGTTCTTGTAATTGAAGATTGGATGTCTGTTTGCTACTGAGTACTGCAGATCTATTTACATGTAGGACTCTTTCCTGGGTAACTTAGCTGAAGTTACTGAAAAGATTTTTCTCTTACTTGCTCTCAGTTTCATTTTAAAAAATCTTATAGGTCTGTTTTACAGTGTGTTTCACGTGAAAGTACTAAGACAGTGTTTGAAATATGCCATATACTTGATTTTTTTCAATAATCTGAATTATTTGCTCTTTCCTATTTATGCCATTAGGGAATGAAAAACCATTTGGAAGACTGGTTATTGCAAAGTGGCATATCAAACAAGATCATGGAACCCACTAGGTCACTAATGAATGAAAAAAAGATATTTTTCCACCACTTGCAGCTATTTCATCTTCTGTGCTTTCAGCGGCATTTTCTATGATGCCTTTGCCTTTGTGGTGGATTATGTTGCCCTTGTGTTCCATAAAGCAACTTGCTCATTTTACTCTTGCTTCTTTTGTTACAGTTGACGCAAAACAGGAAGAAAAAGGCCTATTTAAGGGCAGAAAGTATCTGGCATGTGGCTTCAAACCTCTATTGCAGTCTTTTTTTAACACTCTTGCTGTCAGGCCCCTCTGAGACCTGACAGTGGACATGCATCTCCATGTCAGGATAATCGGCCCGCACTGTCCTCAGACAAGTGAGGGAGGAGCACAGACACTTCACTGTTGGCCAGATTTCTGGGCATGCAGTGTAGAATCGAGATCTTCTAAGGTAGGACATGATGATGTCCCCCTCTGATGCTCAGAAAAATTTCAGTTACAGCATTGGTCGCATCTGACTTCTGATTGTATTTGTATTTTATTTTAGCAACAAGATATTGGCAGGTGTCAATAAAAGGCTTAAGATGGCTGGTTAACCAGACTCATTGGTTGCTTGGTTTGTTGGAAATCCCTGAGACTCCTTGGTTGTGGAGTTTGCCTTTCACAAGAGAGACACTATTGAACAGGTTTAGAACATAATTTCTTTTGGCTTTGCTCCTTTTACAAGGTTCTTGGAGGCTCCATAATTTTTTTCAGTTCTCATCGCATTTGAGTCAAGTCATGGGGAATCAGCTTGCTGTTGTGGTTATCCATTATATTGCTTCTAAGTGGAGTTTATGTTCTTATTTTAATATTTCATAAGTATAAATTATGAAAGGTAGAATGTCAGAAGAAGAAAGTTGATTGTAAATAAACTTGTACAGAATGCTCATTCCTCAATGGAGTCAAAGATAAGTGAGGCTATTTTAAGCACGTAAGGGTTTTATTGAACCCTTATGTATTAAAGAGTTTTAGATATATTGGCCTTTTTCATAAGAAAAGAAACTTTGATAGGATTTGTGGCTACAAGAAGAACAATGCCAAGCTAGTTTCCGTGACCGATTACACATTTCTGTAACTTAAGTGAGGATGAGGGTTACTCCATAGTGGTATACAGGTTGATGCACATTAATATGCAAATTAAAATTATTTAAAATAAAGTATAATTAATAATGACTTGTATTACGTCTATTTCAAATTTTTGTTTGTTCCAAAATTGGAGCGCATTAAAAATGCTTCATTTTGTATCGGAAAATAATTATTTTTTCCAAATGAAATTTTATTTAACATCAGCATACACCCAAACTTGCATCCTCTTAAAAATTATTGAAAAAATTCTGGGAAAGACAAAAAATATTTAAAAATTACTGTCTTTTTTGGACTAAATTTTGTAATTTTTATGTCTTCATGATTATTAATGATATTGCAAATTCCCTCTCAGTAGAATAGTGGACATCAGTAAAGCGGTTTGCGTCAACTTCAGTTGCCACTTTTCATTCATGCTTGTGGAACTTGTATGACTAGGTGGAATTTATCTGAGATTTTACCTCAGCTAAAATGTTACATTTACAGCTATAAAGTAAACAGTATCTGTATGTATTTCTTCTTGTCTGCCTTTCAAATGAGGGATGGAGAAGATTAAGATTTCACAATAGCATGCAGAATAGCTTTGAAAGAAACCTGGATCCTGCTTTTATAGAAGGACTTTACTTGTTAAAGTTTACTCTGTCTGCAGGATACAGAACAAGATCATGCTTCTCAGACAGTGTTTTACCTTCTTCTGTGTTGGCTCAGGCCTAAAGGGAATAGCTATCATCTCTTGTAAGTCCCTTCTAACTTGGAAGCTTTGTATTTGTTGTCTGTAGAGTGCTGACAATATGCTTAGTTTTTGTTGGTACTCTCAAGGGAAAAATCATTTGCTTTCTCCTTTATCGCCCAGAGACAGTGCTCTTTGGCAGCTTCTGCATTGAATCAGGCTTCTTTGGAGGCTTTTAGCTTAGACTTTGATTCTCTATTGAGACCTGAAATTCCATTTATTTAAATTAATAATGTACTTCCCTTGGGATCCAGATCTCCTCAGCATTCTTTTGTGTTGACTCCCTCCATTCCATTTTGTTAAGGTTTCTTGTCTTTTTATAAAAGACTAAATTATGCCTACAAAGTGCTTACGTTTTCAACTCCATGATAGTCGGGAGTGAACCCTTTGGCTACTTACATTCAGGAACATAATCCAGTGCAGGCTCTGTGTAAATGGCCAGACTTTTTTTGTCCCATGGTCGGTTGAACTTGCTGCATCTCTTCCTAAGATCTTTTCTAGTTTACATCTTATTGTAGCATGTCTCAATTACATTTTTTTTTCATTTTCTTCACCCCTTTACGTAGTCAAGATGTCAACCTCCTACTGTTTCATAAAGAAACTTAGTAGCCATACGGAATCACTTTTCTATGTTTTACTCTTTTACTATCCCCCTTCATTCTTGAAGAAACTCACTTTTTCCAGGTATAAATGGTGGTACAAAGTACTCTTTAGTGCCTCCTGGTACTCACACCTCCATTTCTTTAGCAATACAAAGCTGTGTTTTTCCATGTAATACTTCTCTTACTTCCTTATTTTCCCTTTAGCTTGCGTGAAGAGTGCTTGCATATATATTTTTTTCACTCAGAAATAAGATACCTAAGCATTGTAATCTGTTGGGAAATTCAGCAGGAAAAATAAATGTGAATGCGAATATTCACTGAGAAGAATATGTGCCATCTGTAGTCAACAGTACATTGACCTTAATTCATATGAATGCTAAGGGAATGTTTCCCTCTACTTGTGTAAGAGAAGGGAAAGAATGATTGAACAACAAAAAGAAAAGTGGTATTATTTTTCTGGCTTGCTTTTGATATTCATATATACTAGTTAGTGAATGCAGTAATTAGGCTTTGACTATACCTGTGTTTAATTTTCTGGACCATAAATTACAACGTATGCATTCTTCTATTTGGCTTCCTTGAATACTTGTGCCATTTTGTAACTTCTGGTCCATAAATAACAGACTCTAAAACATTCTTTCTGACAAAATGTATTAAAATGTGTGATGGAAGTTTTGATATGAATGATTGTGACTTGAAACTAAACCTAAAGAAACCAACTTGCAGTGGGTTCACATTTACATGTTTCTTTCTCCAGTGAGTATTATTTCAGCACAGAAAATTTGGAAAGAGACTTCTTTCTGAGAAGAAAGATGGACCAACAAGGATTCTTGCCTATTTCTTTGATTGCCACCTTCCACCGTGTGCAAGCTCTGACTACAAATGTTAACCTCATTCTAGAGGTAAAGTACCTTATGTGTATGTACATAAATGTGTAGTTAACTTGTTTCAATTTTTGAACTGTCGTCTAACCCAGGAAATTCTACCCTGATTCCAGTCCTCGAACAGCTGTTTGTTTGTATGTAGTTGCTAGGGCTGTGCGACGCTTCGGTCCCTGATTCACTTCGGCAGAGATTTGCACGATTCAATGGCTGAATCTTCAAATCCGAATCGAATTGGGATACAGTTTAATTTCTCCGAATCGTTGCGGAAGGATTTGGTGATTCGGACATAGACACAGCTTTAAATGTTTTTTCTATATACTTCAAGGTACTAGGCGGCTTGTGAATGCTGAGATGCTGGGGTGGATGTAGCATCCCACAGGGGTGTGGGGGGGCTCTCCAGCACGCTTGGCAGCAGAGCTGGAAGTGGATCAGAAGCACTTTTGGGTCCTCTGGGGAGCATGCTGGGAGGGCCCCCCAGAGGACTTGCAAGTGGAGGGGAAGTGTTTCTGGTTCACTTCCGGGTTTGCCGCTGAGTATGGTGTGGGGTGGGCCCCGCACTCCTGTGGGACACTCCATCCGCCCCGGCATCACAGCATTCACGAGCTGTGCCTGGTACCTTGAGGTACGTAGAAAAAACGTTTAAAGCTGTGTGTATGGCCGAATCACTGATTCTCTAAGTCAGTATTGAATCTTCAGATTTGGATTTGGCTGAATCAAATTGGGGACAGTGATCTGAATCAACGAATCGAACACTGTCCCCTATTTGGGCTGAATCTGAATTGCATATGGCTCATTTCGCACACCCCTAGTAGTTGCCCTGAGGTAGTAGCTCCAAGATTTTTGTCTCGAGTCTTCTTGGCTTCCATTCATGGAAATGTGGCTTTGGAATCCTAATTGTAATCCTGGACCTGGGGAGGTGGTGGAAGGAATTGAGGCAGTTTTTGTACAAGCTTGTCCCGCAGGCAGTTCAGAGACAGTTAGGAGAAAAGTAGGAGGCAGCAAACAAATTACCAATGAATATTGCTATCAGAAGGCTTTATTGGCCACATCCTAAGGGCATAAATGTGTACAGGCCTCTTAAGAACTTCTGTTAAAGGTAGATATTTTGCAGTTTCTAAAAAGAAACAAAAAAAAAAAGCTCATACAATTAAGGTTGCAGTTTGGTTCTAGAGATCCTCTGTTTAAACTTGAATATGTTCTGAAAACCTTTTCAGCTGAAACTTTGTGTCACTGGAGGAAGAACTGCCAGTTTTAAACTATATATTTTTTAACAATGTATTCTTCGTAATTGAACTTCGCAAGTTGAACTCAATGAATAGTATTGTCTTTGTAGGTTTCAAAGAAATTCATTTTGAATAGGTGTGCAATCAGCTGGTTAACAGGGTGGAAACTTAATACCAATAATATCTGCTTTAAATGATTTACTTTCAAGAGCAAATTCATATTTTAATAAAATTCGGAAGTTACTTTGCTGGTTTGAGTCCTTTTGTCAATTTTTAAATTTGTTTTAGAAGCACATTTATGTTTAACATGTTTTTAAGAGTCAAATGTTAAAAAAACAAAGAATGCTAATGAAAAATGAAATAAAAGCATATAATTATATATATTGATCTTATTGTCAAACACTTTGTGTCTTATTTTTTTAACGCAGCAATTCTGATTAAGAAATAAGAGAATTTTGGAGTCGCAGCCGTATGGGAGAAAGCATTTTTATTCCCTTCCCTACCTCTCCCACCCCACCCCACCCCATACAAAGCAGACAGAACTTAAAAGATCACTTTCCTATGAAATGTAAAGGACTTTTATTTTACCTGTTAATTGTAGGTTCAGTTTGGATCACATTTAATTAATTTGGCCTTAAGTTTTGATAGCAACGTTAAGCTTGGCACCTGTGTGTGTGTGGCAGTTTGGTACCTGTTTGTGGAAGCGTGTTTTTTTGCCAAATGTTCCTTAAGGATTGAAGAGTCAAATAAACAATGCTGAATTATTAACTCTTTATTTCCATGATTTTTAGCTGTACAATTAAATGCATTCAACTAAATGTTATTTATACTGTCTGCACTGTTGTGTCTTAACCAGTAGAGGCGACCTGAGCAGAATGCAGGACCTGGAGCAAATCAGCCCATGTGGGGCCCCACTCCCACTCTGATCCCACAGGCCCCAGACCTGCTAGTGGCAGCGGCAGCAGGGGGGATAGTGAGCGGCTGCACATGGAGCCCCACCAAAGCGCCCCCCCGGGATGGCCCTACTTACCAGACTTAGTCTGCAGCAGGAGTATCAAACTCATCAGGCCCTACATACTGGTTGAATAGTGTGGGACAGGTCCACAGGCCAGATGAGGCCCACGGACTTGGGCCTCTGTGCCAGATCCAGCACATGTGACTAGTCTAGTGCAGGTGCTGCATGAAGTGTGCTCCCCAGACCAGCCTTATGCAGTGCCTGCTCCTGACTGGGGCTTATGGCCAGTCTGAAATCCACCAGTAGTACCCCAGGCTAGGTGATAGGGCTTTATGGGCTGGATCCAGCCTGTGTCTGATAGTTCTGGTCTGCAGTATGATGATCTAGTCAAACTAGTAACTTTCTTATACAAATACAATTATAGCCATATTAAAAGTACATACTGAGTGTAAATTCAGTTAATCAAAATGAAATAAGTTGCACCATAATTAAGTGCCTTACACTTGCAGTTGTCTATGCTAGGGATCTTGCTTGCACAACTGTTGGTAAATAACCATCACCCTTTAGGAGGAGAACAAAAGTTATGATAGTAAAGATTTAAATGTGAATTTGGCATCAGACCAAGTTTTAAATGTAGACCAGGCTTTGTTACATGATGTTACTTACCTTAAGTCATTCCTGAAAGTTAATTTGGAGTTTAGGCTTCAAAACCATAATCAGCAGCTGATGCTTGAAACAGTGCCACAATGATAATTCAGAAGTACTGTAGTGAAAATAAATATATGGTGCTAAGTCCTAGACTGACTCTTTTCATCCAAGTTTATAATTGAAAATGTCAGTGATCAAAATGGGTATTGAGAGCTTCATGTTCATTTACATGAAATTTTTTTCTAATTACACTGGAAAATTACATAAAAATGAATTGAGGTGTTTTGTTTCATTTCACTATAAAGTTAACTGGATCTGTGTTTATCAGCAATATAATGCTGGCTATGGATATGTGTTTTTCCTAATGATGTAACATATTTGACACAGGCTCTAAAGGAAAGTACGGAAGTGGAAATAATAGATCAGAAGATGAGGAAAAGGATAGATCCAGAAAAATGGCCAATTCCTGGTGCCTCTCCATGTAATCTGCAACAGACTGACTTCTCTCAGCTCATCAACTGTCCAGAATTCATACCAGGCAAAGCATTTGGCTCTCATACTGGTAAGATATTTCTTTTTACAAAAGAATAATAAAGTTTAGGAGAGAAACTTTAAGCCTACTAAAGCCTGCAAAGTTTATATGAAGTTGATATCAGATTTCCCATAAGAAACGGGTAAGGATGTTTTAGCCAGTTAGAGAACTGTAAGACTGATAGAGGTACAGACAGGAAGGAAAAACCCAGTAAACTTGTTTGTATTTCAGTTTTTTTTCTTTAACTCAATGTCTTTTTCCAAAAGATTTCTACTTCCGTTTTGAAAATTTGCCTCCTGTTTTGGTGGCAGGACACTGCTGATGGAATGACATCTGTAATATATGAGGCATGATTTCAGACTGTCCTTTTGAATAATTGTCCGCTTATACATTCTGTAACTATTGGTGTCTTTCATGTGTTGAGCCCTTGATTAGTGACTTTTTTTCCCTTAGCGATACCCAAGGAACACATTTTAGCTTAGGGGTGGGCCCATGGGCCTCATCTGGCCCTCCAGGCAATTTCAATTGGCCTGTGGGCAGCATGCACCAATTAATTGTATCCTGCCTAGCCTGCAGCTGCCCCTGCTGCACTCGCGTGCTCCCACCCTAATGTGGGGGAGAGCCATGGCCCTGGCCAGCAGGGCCACTACTGCTGCTTCTGGGGGAACTGCTAGCTCCCCTGGCCTCCCGTGGCTCCTCCTTGTGTCCCTGCTGTAGTGCACCAGGCAACAAGTAAGGAAGTGCTATCAGGCAAGGAGAAGTTCCAGCTGGGTGGGAGTGCAGGACTGGAGCCTGCGCCCAGTGGGCTGCAGGAGCGCAGCACCCACATCAGCCCTGTTTCATAATGCAGGGCTCCCCACAGCTCAGGTGCAGCTCTTGGGACATGTGTGCCACTGGTGGGGAACCTCATGTGATGGAGCTGGCAACCTTTGCTGCTCCAGGCTGCCACATGCAGTTTCTGGAACTCTAGGAAGTAGGGAACAGGGCCAGGCCCTGTGTGGTGGAGCCAGGCTGGCTTGGCCCCGTTCCCCATTTCCCAGCAGAGTACCGGGAGCTACATGTGGTGACAGGGAGAGGGCCAGCCGCTGGCTCTATTGTGTGGGGCTCCCCACTCCCAGCACACGGCTCTGGCTGGGTCCCAGGAGCCGCACATGAGCCATGGGGATCCCTGTGCAGTGGAGTCAGGCCAGCCTGGCCCCACTCCCTGCCACCACATGCAGATCCCGGAAGTGGCCAGAGCCGTGCGCTGTTGGGGGGAGGCGCTCTGCCTGCATGGGCCATAAGCACCCCAAGGGCCCCCTTGCTGATGCCAGTGGCAAGGGCTGTGTACCAAGGGGGGGTACACCCTCTCACATTCCCCCACACCCTGCCTACATACATATCCACACCCCCACACATGCCTGCGAGCTCCCCCTAACCACACCCCACACACTCCTGCATTCATACCCCACACACAATATGCAAGAGTAAGACTATTTTTGAGCTATTATGCAGTCACTTCTCTATATACTACGCAAACGCATGTAAATCAGGACAAAAATATTTTTGAAATAAAATTTAAGTAGGTTTTAGTAGATGCTTGATTTTTAGTATATGATTTGTATGTTTTTTCCCTTTCCAAGATGGCATCTCCCCCCCCCCCCCCCCCC